GCCGGGGCTCCGGGGTGGGGCGGAGGACTCGAGGGAGGCGGTACATGGAACGCGGGGCGGGCGGGGACTCGAGGGAGGTGGTGCAGGAAACGCGGAGCGAGTGGGGACTCAAGTTGTCCCTGCTCGCTTTGGGTTCCGCCTCTCGCTCGCGGGGCTCTTGCTACGTTTCAAAGGGAGAGGCGGAATCCAGGGCAACAGGGACTGCTTGAGGCCCTGCTGCGCTCTACATTTAAAAGGCAGAGGTGCAGTGGGGATAGCGATTGCTCCACCCCACCCCTTATTGACTAATTGAGTAGTCAATGGAAATTCCATCAACTACCTGATAAATTGATTAATCAAAATTTAACATCCCTGCCCAAGCCACCACCCAAACCCTCTCAGCTCACAAACCCTCCCAGAACCTGCACTCCCTCCTGAACCCCTCCCCCAGGCCAGATTCCTTTCCTGCACACATACCCCTCCCTGACCCTGCACCCCATTCCCCTGCCTCATTCTGGTGTGGAAAAAGCGAATAAGGAAAAGTCATTTACTTATTCCCACAATATAAGAACTTGGGGTTACCAAATGAAATTGTTAGGCAGCAGGTTTAAAACAAACAAAAAGAAGTTTTTCTTCGCTCAGTGCACAGTCAACCCAAGGAACTCCTTGCCAGAGGATGTGGTGAAGATTAGGACTTTAACAAGGTTCAAAAAAGAGCTAGATAAATTCATAGGAGGTTAGGTCCATCAATGGCTATTAGCTAGGAATGGTGTCCTTAGCCTTTCTTTGTCTGGGAATGGGTGACAGGAGAGGGATCAAGTGAGGATTACCTATACTGTTCCTTCCCGCTGTGTTATCTGGTTTTGGCCACTGTTAGCAGTCATGATTCTGGGCTAGATGGACCTTTGGTCTGACACAGTATGGCCGTTCTTATGCCCCACATCAACACCCAAACCCTCTGCAACTCCTTTCCCTTTTCCCAGGTCACAACCCCCTCCCAGACACTGCATCCCAGCTTATCCCCCTCCCTCAGGCCAGAATCCTCTCTTGCACCCATAACCCCTCTTGGACCCTGCACACAAGCCTCTTCCCCAGATTATAACCCCCTCCTTCACCCAAAATTCCTCTCAGACCCCACACTCCCTCCTACACTCCAGTCCTCTATTCCCAGCTCCCTTCTACACCCCACCTACTGTTACAGTCCTTGAGCCCCCTCCACAGAAGTGCGGCCCTTTGCCACTTTCCAAAATCTTGGAATGACCCTCCCATTAAAAATTATTGCCCACCCCGGTCTAGGCTCTTGAATACTTTGTCTATACAGGCAGTCCCCGGGTTACGTACAAGATAGGGACTGTAGGTTTGTTCTTAAGTTGAATCTGTATGTAAGTCGGAACTGGCGTCCAGATTCAGCCTCGCCTCCCCGGCTTTGCTCCGGGTGTCCCTGGTCTGCTGGAGACGGTCCCCAGCAGACCAGAGGCACCGGGAGCAAAGCGGCAGTGGCGGCAGGGTGCCGCGCCTCCCGGCTTTGCTCCAGGTGTCCCTGGTCTGCTGGAGACGGTCCCCAGCAGACCAGGGGCACCCGGAGCAGCTTTTCTCGCCCCGGAGGTCGAGATGGCGGGACCGCTGCACTCTGGGCGGTCCCGCTGCCTGCGAGCTCCGGGGCGAGAAAGCCCTGTTCGTAAGTGCGGATCCGACATAAGTCGGATCCACGTAACTCGGGGACTGCCTGTACTGCAGAGTTTTGCGCAAGAAGTTTTTTGCAGAAGAGATCTTCCGCAAAAACTTCGTGTGTAAAAGTGAGTCTACACCTAAAAAGCACATTGCAAAAGTGATGTGCTTTTGCGCAAGAGAGCGTCCACACTACATGGACGCTCTCTTGTGTAAGAAAGTTCTGATTGCCATTCACAGAATGTCCATCAGATCACCTGTGCTTTTTGTGATAGGCTCTTTTTGCGCAAGAGACCCCAGTTGAGCATCCACACACACCTTTTTGCACAAGAACTCTTGCGCAAAAAGGAGTTATGCCTAGTAGAAGGAGGTTTACCTACACTGCAAAAAGCCCTCTGTTCTGTCCATTGACTGTAGGTTTTCTTGCACAAAAACGCGCTTGAGGTGTGGATGTTCTGCGGGTTTTTGTGCAAAAACCCTGTAGTGTAGACATAGCTTTATAGTTTTATTTTACATGTAACCATTTGTTTCTAAAACTCTGCTTGCTCCTACGTTTCTGTACTTCGCTAAATAAATGTTTACTTGTTTTCTCTACAAAAATATCAAAGTGCTGCGTTTAAACGGAGCAGTGATATTGTGGAACACAGGTAAGCAGGGCAGTGCTCTTCTGTGGAAGCCGGATGCCTGTGAATTCTGTGATGCCAAGTGGAGAAGGGGCTAGGCACGCCAGGTAGGGATGTTAAATATCGGTTAATTGAATAGTCGAGTAACCTCATGAATTCTTATCAGTTAGTCGACTAGTCTATAGTTCCCGGGGGCAGGACTGGCAGCCAATATACTCCTGCCTCACTCCTGAGGAGTATCAAAGGAAGCAGCGCAGGGTGCCAGGTGGGAGCTGGTCCGCAAGGGAAGCCAGTTTAAAAACCAGCTCCCCTCATGGACCAGCTGCCTGTCGCCCTGTGCTGCTACCTCTGATAAAGAAGTAGCAGTGTGGGGTGGCAGCAGAGCCCAGGATTGTGGGTTCAAGTCCACCCAGTTCCAGGAGCAGCAAGGTAGCTGCAACACAGCCCACTCTGACTGTACCAGAGCCAGGCTGCCACCACCAGTTTGCCCAAAACTAGAGCTGGCAGCAGCTAGAGGTGGGGCAAATCCTCCAGTGGTACAATGGATAAGACCTCAGCCTGGGGTTGTGGATTTGAGGCCTCCTCCAGAGGCTTTTCCTGCTGGTGAATGGGAGGCGTGTTATGCATTGCTTGCCGGGCAGCATGAAAACAATTCCCCCCCTGCCCAGGCCAGACAGCCCTCTGCCCCAAATCCCCCCTGCCTCCTAGCCAGACACTCCCTCTCCCTTTGCTGCTGCCAGGCTGTTGTATGTGGAAGGTGCTTCAACACTCTGAGATAGATGACAACATAAAACCCAGAGAGAGCAATGGATATTGAAAGGTGCTGAAGGGCTGACAGCTGGAGTAATGGAGGACCATATGCTGTAGGCCTGTCAGTAGACACAGTACAAAATTCACAACATTTTTGTGTTTTTTTAAACTAACTGCTTCCTTGCTGAATGTATCTGACAATTTTCAGTCCATTCATTTTTGCATTTTAAAAAAAAGACTATACATTAGAAAATCCCATGTCTTCCTTGTAGAAAAACCCAGCAGCATCAGCAATGCCAGGGGCTGAGCGCCTCATGCTGTCTCAGAAGACATGTTGTAGGAAGCTTTCTTCAGGGTGTTTAGAAAGAACTGCTCATCTTCCAAGAAATCCCGGTCCTGCAGAGAGAGATGGGAAGGCCCATCATTGCTTGTGGCTGAAGGTAGAATACAGAGGCCCATATGCTTGGTATCTAATCACTGTCTTGGGACCTGACATATAAGGTGCATCCATGAAGCAGTCAAAACCTACACTTTGAGAACTCAGCACACCAGCAAGAACAGTTACTTTATAGTACCTGTGGTTCTTCAAGATGTCTTGTCTGTGTAGATCCCAATTGAGGCCTGCATGAGGCACATGTGCACCTTGAATGGGATCTACCTTGAAAGGTGAATAACCTCTCTCTCCTAGACAGGAACATCAGGATTCTAAGAGATCAAAGCAGAACCCCAATTATGCAGGGATGTTGGGGGAAGAACAGGCCACTGAGTGGAGAATCTGGAGAGGTTAGACACTTCAAAGAACCAGAACAGGAGGGATTAACTGCCTTCCCTTTGAGGGTCTCAGACCATTGGGTCTGAAGCAGTACATACCCCCCACTCCAGTGGCTACGAAGGCTAATGGGGTTTCACCTGTGGCTAAGAGCCCATGTGAAGCAAGCCAGCTAGTCGCTTTGACAATCTGGTTGTCCAATAATTTATGACAGACCTTGCTGCTATTGTTCCTCTGCTTCTGCTTTAAGTGTATCAGGGAAACACCAGGGTGCCTATTTTCTCAAACAACCCTTTTATAGTGCAGCACAGAAAAAACCACTTTACTGCCCAGCAACAAGCTTCAGAGAAAACCCATCCATCAGCAGGGGGCACCGGGCCCTCGCTCTCTCTTTTCCTGGCAAGTCAGAAGGGTTACTAAGCCAAAAAACATTTTCAGCATTGCTCAGTAGCAGACCTGCTTGGGTCTTTAAATCTGACCACATACCACCGAACCTCATCTTACCCGTGCAGCTGTGTGCTTCAGCAGCACTAGTTTGGCGTACAACTCTGCGGGTCCCGCCCCTGCTGTGCCCAAGGTGCCCCCTGTGCTGCCAGAGTTGTGCTGAGGTAAGCTGATAACAGGAGGGGGGAAATCTGCAAAGAAAGCAACAATAGCCCGGAACACACACACAAACACACACACACATAGAACAACATGGGACACACTGCTGGTCTATGGCAGGGACATTGTACCCCTACAGCTTTCCTAGCATGATTGCTGTCCCTGTGTTTGTGTGTCCTGGCGCAGCACGGCAGTCCCTCCCCTTAGCCTGGGACAGAGGACATTGTGGGGATTCATTCTAATGACTATGTGGCACTTCCATAGCCTCTTTCATGCAAAGATCCTGGAGCACTTTACAAACATTAACCAGAGAGAGGCTGGTTTAATTAACCCTCCAGAGTAGTCTGTGGGGTAGGTAACTCTTAGTCCCATTTTACAGAAGGTGAAATTAAGGGACAGACAAGTTAACCAATTTTCTCTGTGCAAAGCAGCAAGTCAATGGCTGAGGCAAAATGGAACCCAGGAGTCCTGCCCCAAGCCCTTGCTCTGACCCCAAGCCCAGCTTCCTCTTGGGAAGTGGCGGCTTCAGAACTGTCTCTATTCAGCACTGAACAGCAGAGATGCCCCACCCCCACCGGAAGACAAAGATGCAGGAGGTGTTGCCCTTTCAGCCCAGTCCACACTAACAAATTAGACTGACCCAGTGATGGTGCTCAGGGCTGCAAAAACCATCATGCTGTAGTTAAGTCGGCCTAACTCCTGGTGTAGACCCAGCTAGGCTGACAGAAGAATCTTCTTTTGATTTAGCTACCCACTCCTGGGGAGATGGATTAACTATGCTGATGGCAAACCCCCTTCCCTCGATATAGGAAGAGTCTACACTCCAGTGGTAGAGCTGAAGTGCCATAACTGGACCTGGAGCAGCTGTAGTGTAGACATGCCCTTCATCTCACTGAGTCCAGTGTCCCGCTCTCGCAGGCAACCCTGGCACACAGTCCTAGTCCTAAATGTACCAAGCTCCACCTTAGAACAGCTTGGTCTCTTGCCTCCACTGCTCCTTGCCTCCACTGTTCCCCAACCTCTCTCCTCTGAATCCAACCTAAGTTTCTTCATGGCCAGTTTATTTTCATTTATTCTTGGGCCAACATTGTCCTTTATGTTAAATAGCAATACTTCCTCCTTGGGCTTCCCTCTCCCCCTATGTGTCCACAGAGAGCAGCCACACAAGAGCTTTTCTGCTGGCGGGTGTGGAGATGCAGCTTACATTGTGTGGTGCAGGGAGCACTTGATGCAGATGCCAGGGGTTTGGTCAGGAACTGCACCGGGCTGCTGGAAAGCTCCTCTCGCAGCTGTTCAAGCTGTCTCCTCTGACGAGCCAGGTTCTGGCGCTCCTATCTCGCCCCAAGGGGATGAGGAAGACAGAGAGAGAGAGAGAGACGGGCTGGTTTCTTGTGGCTTGGCATATTGTGGCACATAGGGAAAAAACCTCATGAGGGGGGACACCAGGATCTGATTACCTGGTGCAGGTGCTGCTCCTGCTGCTTCAGCCGTTCCAGCTGCTGCTCCATGGTACGCAGCCTCGTCTGGTGTTCTGACTCCACTTTCTTCGCCTCCAGCAGGGCTTGCTCCCCCTCCTCATACTTCTGCGAGGACAACTGGGGGACATGGCAACAAAGAGCATGAGTGGGGGGGAGCCAGGGTGTGACGGCGCCGAGGGGAGGGGAGGGGGCTGTGTACACACCTATGGAAACCCCCACTACACCCAGGCATGCATGAAAACCTGGTTTAATAACAATTCTTCAGACTTCCCTAGCTCTTCAGCCAACCATTGCCCCTGTTTTATCAAGGCAGGGAGCTATCACTATCCCCAAGGCAGAGAGAGAAAAGTGGAAGAGCTGGGAACTAAAGACCCAGTCTCAAGCCCCTACAGTGCTGCCTCCACTTCCTGCATGCCCTTTCCTGACTTCTAATGGGAAAGAGCCAAGGATGTGCTGATAGAAAGGGGCTAAGAGAGTAAGAGGAGTCTCCTTCATACCTTGCTCATGCTGTCAATCTCCTCTGCCCTCTGTTTGACGTGTACAGCAGCGACGTTAACCCTTTCCTTCTCGAGTCTCAGCTCCTGCCTCTCTCGCTCCAGAGATTCCCTTTCTCTAGCCAGCTGCTCCTCCTTAGCCCTCAGCTCACTGGCCTTGATTTTCAGATCTGCTTGTTCCTAGGAAGAGAGCATCATAGGTGATTATATATCACCTCCTTCCCCGAGAACATGCCCAAGTTCTCAGAAAGATCCACGATGGAACAGCCTCCAAACTCTGGGCCCACTGGAGGATTCTTCCCAGACCCACATTCACTAGAGTGCTGGCTTTGTTTTGCAGGGGAAGGTCCCCAAGCATTAATGGGCAGGCTGTTTCCTTCACCCTGCCCAGACAGAGCAGCTGGCTCAGGAATTTGGGCCAGTCAGAGGAAGTGTTGGAAGGTTTCTCTGAACCCACATTATTCAGGGCGCCATGTCCCCCCCCCCCCCCACACAAATCTGTTCTTTGAACGGG